AACGTCTGGCAGAGTCTCCTGTGAGACGGAGTTTCAACTCCCACCTCAGGGAGAATTTTGAACATGTGCTAAATAACAAGTTTAATAATAATAATAAACAGTATTTATGTTAGTGTGAGATATAATGAAGCTATCTGGACATTATTTAATTCAAATTATGTGATTAAAATGATGCTAAACATATTGCATGTTATTAAAGTTGAAAATGAAGACATCAGGTTTAATTTTTTATATTTATTCAACACCACAAACTGTATGTCACACAAACACTGATAATTAAACTGAACACACTATTAAAAACAAGTTAACTGTAAACTGCATTAATGAACTGGACTCTTGTTTTCATCCTGGATGTCCCACGTTGTTCATCTGGCTGTTCAGGCTGTCACTCCTTTGATTAATGCAACTTAAAACATTAAATGGATTGAATAAAAGAACTGAGGGGAATTTTAAACAAATAGTTAATCAACATCTCTCTTCGACGTCCTCCTGCACTGCACCTGGGCCGAGCCTCGTTCATAACGGGTCCGCCTGGTGGGAGACAGCTTCTTCTTCTTTCAGGAAAAATTAAAAATAAAAACTCAGTTGGTTGTTGTGTGATTGAAGTAAACACAAGCTAACATTATTAAGAACATTGATTAACCTGCTGTAAACCAGCTACTGATTATCACGGAGTAAAGTCCGACATCGTCAACTCAGTTCTGGTCCACTCAACGACCGGTGTGGAGCTGTTAGATGAAGCGGTCCCGCTTGGCGTCAAATCTGTCAACTCTTATCCAAAATCCAGCTTTAACTTGTTATTAAGTTGTTATTAGCTGAGCTTTTAGCCCAGAGGAAAGGAGCGTGTCGAGACAGCACGCATGCGCATTAGGTGAATGTACAACATTCACAGCGCCATCTAATGACCTGGCACGGTAACTACAGTGGATTCGGGAGGGCAGGGGGGATTCCTCCGGATGCATGTAAACACAAAATCCGTCCGTGTCAATGCAAATCTTTTCCTCCAATTAACATACGAAAAAAAACTACATTTTCCCCCATCGTGTCCGTGTAAAAAGGGCCTTAGTGTCCAGTCTCCCATACAACTCATCAAACACCTTCAGCTTTGTCTTAGCTTCCTCCCTCTTTGCTCTATGTCCCATCTCCTTATATTCCTGTCTCCTCTCTTCAGTCCTCTCACTGTCATATTTTTTCTTGGCTAACCTCTTTCTTTGAACGGCTTCCTGCACTTCACTATTCCACCACCAGGTTTCCTGATCATCAATTCTCTGTCCAGATGACACACCAAGTACCTTCCTACCTGTCTCTCTAATTACTGTTGCTGTAGTAGTCCAGTCATCTGGAAGCTCTTTCTTACCACCCAGAGCCTTTAACAGCTCCTCTCTGAATTTCTCACAACATTCTTCCTTCTTCATCTTCCACCATTTGGTCTTCTTCTCTGATTTTACTCTTTTTCTCTTCTTCACAACAACAGTCATTCTACACACAACCATCCGATGCTGTCTGGCCACGCTCTCCCCTGCCACAACCTTGCAGTCTCCAATCTCCCTCAGGTTTCCTCTTCTACACGGAATGTAGTCGACCTGCGTACTCCTTCCTCCACTCTTATAGGTCACTCTATGTCTAGGTGTTGACTACAGCCATTTCCATTCTCTTGGTAAAATCCATCACCATCTGTCCTTCCTGGTTTCTTTCCTTGACACCCAACCTACCCATCACTTCCTCATCCTCTGTTTCCTTCACCAACATGTCCATTCAGGTCTGCTCCATCACCACTCTCTCCTCCCTGGGAATACTCTCTGTCATTTCATCCAGATCTTTACAAAATGTATCTTTCTCCTCCTCATCACATCCAACCCGTGGAGCATAACCACTGACGATATTTAGCATCAGACCTTCTACTACCTTCAGAAACATCACCCTATCTGACACTCTTTTCACCTCTACTACATTCTTTACCAACTCCTCCTTCAGGACCACCCCTACTCCATTTCTCTTTCTATCCACACCATGGTAAAACAGTTTGAACACTGCTCCAATGCTGCGAGCCTTGCTGCCTTTCCACTTGGTCTCTTGGGCACATAAAACATCTACCTTCCTTCTCAGCATCATGTCAGCCAGCTCTCTATCTTTGCCTGTCATTGTCCCCACATTTAGAGTTGCAACCCTCAGTCCTACATTCTTGACTTTCCTCTTCTCCCTCTGTCTCCTGACATGTTTCTTTCTTTGAGGCTCAATGAGACTAGCCTGTACAAATAAATATTGAATTGAATTGAATTGGATAATTGCCCCCAACAGCAGAGTGTGAAAAAAATTAATAAACTAACATGTATTGTTTAAATATCATTTAATCCATGTTCATTCTGCAGACTTTCAAAGTTGGTGTGTGTATGTGAACTCTGGTAAACTCTTGTAAATGTGAACTTTTGTCCTCTGCTCAGCAAACATCCTTGTATTTCACCACCTGCAGAGAGGCAAAGATATAGAACTTTTATCTAAACGGCTGAGGACGCTTTTCGTATCAATATGTTTTTCTTTTTCAGAGATTCTAGCCACATGAACAAAAGACTGTTACAAATCTAATTAAAAAATACCAGCTCCACAAATGTTTATCAG